AGGAAGAAATAAAAATATAAATAATAATAAATAAACTAGACGAATGTAAAACATTAAGGGGCTCAGCCCCCTAGCCATGCTATATTTTAAAGGTTATATGGTATAGAGCTACATTATTGTACATGTACATGAGTAAATACAGTAGTTTGTACGTTTGTAATGAAGTTATCATGCTTGGAAATACAAATTTTCTTTATCAGTTTATCACATTCTGCAGCAAAAAAGTTGTGTTGGAAGCCAGAGACAGTAACTGCAGTCATAGGTTAGTCAGTAGTTGTGAGGGCTTTACAAGCTCACAGTAGAGACTTCTCTTGCATTCTTGCTGACTCAAGTGAGTGACTTGTAACTTATAAGGTCAAGAACATGAAGAACAATGAAGAATTGATAGCTGGCGCCATTTTATTTCACTGTGACCACGCCCGTTTTCAAAGAAGATTAAGATTAGGTTATTAAAATAGGAAAATTTTTCATACGGATAAATAGGGGTGACGTACGTGTACAGACAGACATACTCTACTCGAACTAGTGGGCTTCGCCCAATAATAATTAATCTTACTTTCAACCACGCCCCACGGATACAAACGCCCGCGGACTCTCTTATTCCCAACCTCCAGTAAAGTGGTGCTCCCTACCACAGCCATTGGGATAGCATCCTGCGAAAAATAAAAGGGCGGAGTCAGTACGTTGCTACGGTAACAGTACTTACCCTAAGTTCTCTTATTTCGGGCGAGTCGTCTTCTTCGTCTATTTCTCCGTTATATATCCTGATCCCGTTGTCAGAGATTTCTTGTAAAATCTGAGGAGAAAGAGAATGAAGAAACAAAACAATATTATATACAAAAATCGATAGAGAAGGCTTTACCCTTGTTTTGAGTGTCCTGACTTCAGTTTGGGTTAGAGTGTCTGATTTGGCGATGACAGGAATTATGTTCACCAAATTATGGAGCTCCTTCATAAATGCAATATCTAGGGGCTTCAGTCTACACAATAAAGACAAGTAATTGAGTCAAATTTGTTAGGAACCACAAAAATAAGCATGGGTGACCCAGTAAAATTTTATGCGGCTCAAATAAGTAAGCAGGTGCTAATGTATACACATCATTTGCTTGTTGATAATAATGTAAATAAACAAGTGGTCATTGTAGGGTACATAAGAAGAAGTACTGTATGTAAGACAACATAACGTAATGTAATAATACTAGTACAGTGTAGCCTCTATAATGAGGACACCTTTATAATGAGGACACCTTTATAATAAGAACACCTTTATAATGAGGACATTTTGTAATGTCCCAATTGGTACAAACCTATACAAAAGTACCTCTGAAATGAGGACACCTCTGTACTAAGGACAGGTACATGTAC